CTGCGCCACTTTAAAAATGTTTAAATAAAAAAGTATTATTGTTTGAATTTTCGCGGCATTGCTGCTTCGATTACCAATTCTCATTTTGCATGCGATTTCTTTGAGTAATTCTTTTTTTTTAATTATTTGGCTTGTCACTCATTCGCAATGATTTGTAAAAATTTCCTCTCTACGTTCTTAATTTTTTGCGCATTTTTCCTTAAATTTCCATATTTTTCATTTCACTTCTTACACTTCTGCCACAACCCAATTATAATTCGTGGAGCATGTGATATTTTTCTTTGCTCTACTGTCTTTTAACATTCGTCCGTCGCGAACGCTTTGCCTTGCCTTGTGCAAACTTAACAGCCTTCAGTGTGCACTCTTGTACGCAATTATGTAAGTTGACAGTGACAGCATGCTCTTTTATTTCATTTTATGTAAGAAAATATGAGTGGTTTTTTACTTATCACTGACAGCCACAGAAATCCTTTGGCTGTCATAACAAAAGGGCAGCATATTTCATGCAATGCAGCATTGCTTTTACGTTCGTCATTGCCTTCGTAAATAATTTTTTAATTATCATTATTTTTTGTAAAATCTCAAAAGTGCTATAAAAATGTTTGATGTGATCAATACAGTGCAAATGAACAGTAGCATGGAAGGAATTTTACGACTACTATGTTAATTTAAGAGCTGGCGAATGTGAAAAGGTTATTGCCAGGAAAATATAAACAGATAAATTATCATGAAAATGTCCCATCGAAGAAAAGGCGTTAAATAACCACACTTTTTAGAAAAATATTCTATTGATCTTTAAGTGCATGAAAATTTTTTTACTTTTAACGAGAAAAAAATAAAAATATCCCTTTTAGGGAAAATTTTGAAAAATTTTGATTTTTTTTGTTTTCAAAGAGCTATTTTAAATAATATCTTTTTAGAAAATTTAGATTAATACAAAAATTATATTTTCCAAAATGTGTGATGAATGGCTTACTTTGACCGTTTTCATAATTTTAGCAAATTATTTTTATTTACCTGAGTACATCTTAGAATTCTAGATCAGGCTGACAGATTATTTGAATGCATTTGCTTACAAAAAAACACCTAAGAAAAACATTTTGTCGTAAACAATTAATAATTTCCTTTCAAGGATTATTGTAAAATAAATGAATTTAAACAAAATATGTAAAAAGATTATAATATAATCTGAAGTGTAGCATAATTTTAGTAGTAAATATAAATTTCCTTAAATATAAATTTCCTTTTATTCATTGAATTTGTCGAAATATGTCATCAGATTTTAATGTGATAACAATGTAAGCATGACTTTAGTAAAGATAAATTTCCCTTCAATCGAAATTGTAAAATATTTTAATTGAAACATAGCATGTAAAAAAAAATATTTTAATGTTAAATATAGCTAGCTTAATATTGGTAGTGACTGAATTAGGAAAAATATGCATGATTTCGGTAGAAAAAAAAATGTCTTTAAATTTTCCACTAAGGGATATATATTTTGGATAATAAAATTCAGTTAACCTATGTTCAGAGGCTTTTTTCCAAACCATTTGATTAAGTATTAGATGTATTTTACTATAATTTTATACAAAAATATATTTAAAGATTAAAAGTTGAGGAAAAACTCAAATTTATATGTCTATCAAATTGAAATGATTTTGCAATTGTATTTTATCAAGTACCAACGTACTTATAACAATTTCCTTGCAACAATTTCTTTTTTTTTACCACTGATAAATATCGAAGAAATATGAAAAGTACATATACATTTTTCATTCATATACATATACAAAACTTTCAAAAAAATTCAATATCAATCCAATTAAACCAAAATCGTAAAGAAATTAAAAAAAGCTTACTTCACTTGACGATGTGACCTGAATTATCAGCGTATACCCACGAACACAATTATAGCCACAGGGCAATAATTCAAACGCTGGCAACCACTACTATCACAATTTTAGGCGCACTCGCAGCCCTGAGCTATATATGCTACTAGCGGTAGTGGCATAAAGCAATATCGCGCTGTTACCGCCTGCCATGCTGTCACCGCCACTGACATTGATGATGATGTATTTCCGCTGCCTCTTTTCCACACCCCAACACGTTGCAACAGCATTTCTCTTCGCGCTCTCAAGAATGGGCGCCTGCGCCTGCGGATTTTTTTACAATATTTTCGCGGTGCAGTAGCACAGTTTTTATTAATTTTTGTTTTCCCGTTATATAGTACATATATATTTATTGATGTATGTATGTACACGAAAGTGCGTAAAATGTGTAAAAAGTGGCTGAAATGTGCTGAAATTTAAGTCTGTTGAAGGCAGCAAATTATAAATTATTTGCGGTTGACATTGGTTTGAGAGGATTTGAGTGTATATTTTATAACGAATTTAATTTAACGCATGACCAAATATCACACGCCATTCAACGCACAAAAACTTTTCCAACACATTCATCAAAATATGTATATACGATGTACTTAACAACGTATAAATATTAAAAATTGTCATTCAACTTTACGTCAACTTTCAACAGTCAATAAACTCAATGATGAAAATCATCAGCATTATACGTACGCAGCAAAAGTATTTTTCAGGGTATTATACCATAAGTTCTACGTTCACTTTTTGGTTTAATAATTTTTGGCTTATATTTGAATTATTTTTAGAGCAAAGCCTGTATTTAGCTTTATGTCCGTTTTACATGAATTAAAAAAGCAAATGGAATAATAAGTGCAATTTAAACTGCAACCCACAGAAATAATCCATAAAATAATATTTCTTTTCAAACGCATACAACGACAGAATAGAATACTTGGTTTTAGGTAGCGAGTGAAATCTAGTTTACATTTGCGTATAATATATAAGTGAACGAGTTTTTCGTAATTTAAGTACCTTGTGAATACAAATCAGTAGTTGTTGGTGGAAATACTATATATAAATTTTAAAAGTTACTAATTATTTTACGCGTATACCTTTTTATTCCTGAATGGAACAAAATGGAATTTTCGAAACAGTTTTTAAATTAATAAATGATACATTCCGATAAGCGAAACCCAACTTTTAAATAAGTGTTTCATATATTCCATGTCGTTCCAGTTATTAAATTTTTAGCGCAAAGTATAATTTGACTTGCCTATAGACACTTTCAGTTTGCAAAAGTCTTAAACAAGTGTTTCATTGATTCTATGTCATTCTTATAATTCTAAGTACAAACCTACATCTTAAATATTTGTCTATATAGCCTTTCGTATTGTAAATGTTGCGTTACTTCAAAAAATTTTTAATTTATTTTTAAAGAAAAAATTTTTTTTGTTGCTTATCACTACTTGAGTGTTTCAATTTCATAATCAAACCTAAACCTTTCTTCAATAGTTCTTTTTTTTATATCAGATCAAAGCAAACTTATAGTTCTAGAACCCATATTGTATCAAAATAAAATTGTATTGGAAGAAAATGGAATTTTCGAAACATCTAAACTTTTGAATTTGTTAAAATAGTTGGGAAAAGTGAAATTTTTGATTCCAATATTATTAAAATTATTAATTTATAACGTATCACTTTAGGTGAGAGTTTCTCATGAAAAACTATAGCCTTATAATTCTAAAACCAAGAAATTATATAGGAACTAAATGGAATTTTCGAAACAACATTTTGATGAATGCAAACAAGATTTTTAAGTTTCTATTTATGAAATATAATTGTACAGAAACAAAATGAAGTTTTCAAAACATATAAACTTTTGAACGCAATTTATTGAAATTGGAAAAAGTGATATTTTTGATTCCAAACTGATTAATTTATATCATATCATTTTATGTAAGAGTTTTTATGAGAGTGTTGATATACCTTGTAGTACTAAAACCAATAAAGTTATATAGGAACAAAATGGAATTTTCGAAACATATCAACATTTTGATGAAATTCATATAAATTTTTCGAAAATATGATATGATACTTTGGTGTTTAAAATTATAAAGGACATTTATCAATCTAAAATTGTTTGTATAATTCGAAAAAAATTTGTTATTAACCGATAATATTCAAATTAAAAATATTTAATAAATGCGTTATCAAAATATTTTTACAAACACCTGCTATGTTCATACATATGTACATACATACATACATACATATGTATATGCATGTTATAGAAAAAACTCCGAGCGCACAATCAGTAGTCTTGCAATATTTTGCTAGGCAGCTTACCATGCACTACCTCATAATTTTACATTTATGTATTTGACATTACAAAATATACCTACATACATGTGCTGACAATATTTGCAAATTTTATTTATATTTTCAAACTATTTTTAATAGTTTTGTTATTGAACCGTCGAAAATGAAAATATAATCCAATACCGCAAAATCCTTTGCGGAAATCCTTTAATTTATCAAATTTCCGCTCAACTAACGAGAATTCAATTAAATTTGTTATTTGTTTCGTTTGAGTATTTTGAATGATTCTCTTTGGCTCCAACTCAGGCACAAACACATACTATATGATTTCCCCAGCGTGTAAATTCAATATTTTTACAGTTATGCGAAAAGGAAATACTTTTAGTTTATTTATGAGCGCTTATAGTACTAAACAAGCCGTATATACATAGTATGTATGATTTTTAATATGTATTTGTAAATAGTTTCTGGAATTATAAAATATTTTATTCAATAATTTTTTTTCTACTTCTTTTTCTCCCACAACGATACCCACTCGCCTGCGCTTGATTCCCTTCTCATGGCTGTCTGTGCAATTTCCGTTTGACTGGCGTAAATATGGACGACACGCACCACTCTGATATCCAACCCATCAACCAACGCACCGGCAATGATGACGCTGCCAATGTTGATAATCTTGATAACGCTGATGATGGCATTGATGGTGATTCCACCACAAACAAACTTATAATCATAACCAACACTATCAACAATGCAACAACAACAACGACGACGGCAAAAAAACAACGGCAATACGTATGCATGAATTTGTTGTGACAGGTGTCCCTTCACAGCCTAGTAATTTCCGGGCCACCGATATCGGCGAGACCGCAGTCACATTGCAATGGTCGAAACCGACACATTCCAGTGAGAATATCGTACACTACGAATTATACTGGAATGACACATATGCAAATCAGGATCATCACAAGTGAGTATAACACACACACGCACTTATGCATCTAAACATACTCACATGTATATACAAATGTATGCAGACAGGATATTGGCACTAATATTTCGCCCATTCGATTACAACCCGCACACTATCCAACAAATTACTTACTGATATCGACAATTGGCACGTGCATATTGATTTCCACTTGCCAATATTCGCCATGTTTTGTATGTACGTATGTGTATTTGCGCAATGTAATAGTTGATTGAAATCTTGGCAATAAATTGAAATGTGTACGCATTCTTGATAAAATCGGGTGGCATTAGCAACTAAAGTTGCAGGAAGCGTTACTGATGTAATTCAATTACCTAGGTTGGTTGTAAATGAAAATACATATACCGCAGCTGAAAATAATAATCGAAAACATCCCTAATACAAAACTGTTCAAAACTACACCAAAACTCAGAAATTAGAAAAAAAATTTGGACCATATACATATGTTGAGTTATCTTAAAAATCTTATAAATAACAAACTAGTTGAAACCTTAGCTTGAAATAATCTTCCACGTATTTTAGAATATCAAAAATTTAAAAATACAGGATATTATTTTATTATTATAAATTGTTATAAAAGTGTGTTAAAAAGGATTCTACATTGACAAAAAAAATTACCGGTTTTGAAAATATCCCTGTACTTAAGGATATTAACAGTGAGCTGAAATTAACTACAAACCAACTCAACTTAAATCAGTTTAAGCACTTTTTTAAGTTGAAAAAAAAATTCAATAACGAAATACTTCAAACTTCCCTTCGCTCGAAAAAATTCCCCGTATTTCAGTAGATCAAAGATTGAGAAATTACAAGATATTTTATTACGTACAACAATTTATAAAGAATTGTAAAAAAGATATTCCATAATTACAAAAAAAAAATATTATTAAAAATATCCCCGTATTTCAGGATATTAAGAGTGAGCTAAAATTAACTCAACTTAATTAAATTTAAGAACTTTTTTAAGTTGAAAAAATAATTTAAAAAATTTCCAAGTGTTTTTTAGTATTGAGCTAACTAAAACTAAAACATTTCAAACTAAGTTTGCAAAAATATTACAAAATGTCTTAAAAAGTGTTCTATAATACAGAAAGTTTTTTCATAAAATTTTGAAAATATCCCCGTATTTCGAGATAAGAACAATGAACTTCAAACTAACTCGACTTAATTCAATTACAAATTACAACTTTTTAAGTAAAAAAATTAAAAAATTGTCCGGTGTCTTTTAGTATCGAAAGAAAACTAAGACATTTCAAAATAAGTTGTTGTTTCCAAAAATATTACAAAATTCCTTAAAAAGTATTCTACAATTCAGAAAATTTTTTTCATAAAGTTTTGAAAATATCCCCGTATTTCGAGACCTTAACAATGGGTTAAAATCAAATTCAAACTGGCTAAACTCAATTCCATTTGACGATTTCTTTAAGTTGCAAAAAACATAAGCAAAATTTCACGCATTTAAAGATTTTAGTTTTGGACGAAAATTAAGACTTCTCAAAATAATTTAATATTTTCATATACATATATGTACGTATATACATATTTAAATGTGTATCCTACAATTAAGAAAAAAAATTCCCATACAGTTTTAATAATATCCCCTAATCTGAAAGTGAATTAAAACTAACTTCAAACTCAATACAGCGCAATTCAAGTTTACAATTCCTTGCAAAAAAAATTAATATTCCCTGCACTAAAACTTTCCATTATTCAACAAAACTTATTATTATTCAATTATTCCCAAATATTTGTCTTTATTATAAATAATTTGTATTATCAATTAATAAATCTGGAACTGTTTGGTTGAGAGAAACACACTATAATTTTTTTTTTCCAAAAATTCCTTTAAGAACGTCGAATTTGATTCTTAGTTCTCTAAAAAATAAAATAATATTTAAAAGAATCCCAAAAATGATTAATATAAAATGTTCTTTAGATACAAACTTTTTTAATTTCTCTAAAAAAAATTAAAAAAAAAAATTTGTAAGAATGTAAAATATTTCGCAAATATCCCCATAATTGAACATATAGGTATTAAACGAATGTGTAAACATTTCAAACATACATTTTTATTTTTAGATAAAATAAAAAATTAACGAACAATTATTTAGTGTTAAAAAAGGAAGTTTCCTTAAATTTAAAAAAAAATACCTAAATTAAAAAAATCTATTACTTTCAATTATCACATATTTTTTGTGTTTTGTAAAAACTAAGAAATCGGAAGCTGTAAAATATGTATTATATAATTCTCTATGAGAAAAACATAATAACAATTTTTCCCACGAAAAACATTCGTCCGAATACCGAACTTGAATAATACAAAAAATACAATTAACGCAATATTTTTTTTTTCAACGTAAAAAATTTCGAAAATATCCTTACATTTCAAAACGTGGGTATTATGCGGATGTGCAGACGTTTCAAACAAAGATTTTTATTTTTAGATATAATAAAAAGTGTACAAGAAATATTCCAAATTATGAGAATATTCCAAATTATGGGATATTTTTTTTAATTTCCTTAAATTAGAAAAAAACCATAAATTTCCCTTATTACATATATTGTGTGTTTTGTAAAAATTAAGATATCTTTAGCTGTAGAGTATGATAAAAGTACAATAACAAAATGTCCCAGAAAAAATCCCTCAGAAAATCGAATTTGATTCATCGTAACCTCAAAAAATAAAATTTTTTTAAAAAAAGCAACATATTATATTACAAAAAGAATGAATATTTTTAATGGTGTTTAGCCTCTTTTGGAATTTTTATATTTTTCGAAAAGATGAAAAAAAAAATTACCTTAAATTACCTTAAAATTACTTTCTCTTGTATCCTTAGAATTGAGTCTTTCAGTTTTTATAAACTCTAAATTTGATTATCTTTCCCAAAAGTGTGAGTAGAGTCATTTAAAAATTACTGAAATTAACCAAATTGCAAAAGTTATTAAACGGCTCAAGTTTGGAGACAATATTTTGTAAAACGCATAAAAACATTTGAAGGGAAATGTGTTGAAAACGAACAATTACATTTTTTGGATTTTTTTTTTTTTTTACTTAAAACTTATTAGTCTGAAAATTTAATCATTGCATTCACTATAGGATTTTAAATTACCGTCTAGGACAGGTAGTGTAGGAACCATATTTTCTCTTTATTTTAATTTTTTACTTTTCAACTTTTATTTAATTTCCTTATTTTACAACTTCAACTGCAAATATGCACTTTTATGAAATTCCAAAAAATAAACTCAATTTTTCCACATTTTCTACTTAAGGCGCATTTCGAACACTGAATCCTACACGCTTGATGGTCTCTATCCTGATACCCTGTATTATATATGGTTGGCGGCGCGTTCGCAACGCGGCGAAGGTGCAACAACACCCCCCATACCCGTCCGTACGAAACAATATGGTAAGTAGATTTTTCACATTTTTCAACAAGCAACTACCATATGGCAACGCAAAAACGAAAGTAAACTAATAACCGAAATAGTAGAAAACATATACGCCTTATATATCAGTATGCAATAAATTACGCAAACTAATAATATTTAAGAACAAAATACTAATATGTATATAAATATGCATAAAATGTGTGTGTTTTTTTACAAAAAATGAAATAACGCGCTGGTGTAGCCATATTTTTTGATTATTAAAAAATATGTGCTGCTCCACGTGTATTTAGTTACCAAAAATATATACACACATTTTAGAAAATACTAGCTTAAGTAAATCCGAGGAACCCTAAAAGTATGCAAAGTTGCTCCCGTAGTGTAAACAATTTGTTTGAATACCCACACCTATCCCTAGTATGCCCTTCCTTATTAAAAAGAAAATTATAAATATTTATTAAAAATCAACAACAACAAATAGTTGAGCTGCGTACTAAAGCCTGCGTGGAAAAGAAGGTAATATAAAGCAAGTAATTGGTGGCAAAGCGTGTGTGAGGGTGAAATTTATGAGTGTGCGTGTTTGTGTAAATATGAAATATTTATTTAAAATCATATGTATGTGTATTTGTATAGCTTTTTTTTTGTTGAAAAAAATCGATAAAAAATTTAAAGTGACTTTTATTTTAGCTTTAAATTAAAAAATAATAAATTTAAAAAAAAATTATTATAAAAAAGAATTTCTTCTAGAACAAGAATATTATAATTTTTTCCACTGAAAAGTTAATTTTAACCTTACATTAGTTTATAAATTTATTTTAGCAGAAAGAAAATAATTTTTAGAAAATATTTATGTTTCTAGGTTTGATATTTTTATTTAAGTTATTGTCTATCATAATTTAACATACAACTTATTTACAAAAGAGCAATAATATATTTATTTTGTATACTCTTGTATATTTCATTATTCATTTAGAAATATTTATGTACATATATACTTACATACAAAAAATACTACATGTATGCCAAGCAAATTTGTCTATATGCCATAAAACTACCTTATATATACAAATATACTTATTTATTAAACATATGTAAATACATACATACATGCATACATAAATATATCATATTATATACAGTCTAACAACATTTTGCTTATAACATATATACATATGCATACATACGTACATAAGCGGCACTAATTTCTAACACTTTGATAATTAACTTGCAAACCCTGAAATTTTAACTTACTTGACCTAAAATGCAAAACAACGAAATTGAATTCTTTATAGCTTACGATTCATTACATCATGTTACATATTGTGGCATAAAAATTTCAGCTGGCCGCTGGCAGACATAACCAATATATAACCATTTTATAACCAATATAAAACTATTTTATAACCAATATATAACTATTTTATAACCAAAACTAAAATTTTTTTTAAGTGAAATCGTCACAGAGCTTTCTTTAAAAATCATACTGAACTAAGATTAGTATGACATATGTATTAAGATAGGGTTTCGATCACAAGATCACGCATTGCGATTTCATCTAGAACCGTATCGACCCCAACAAAGCTGCTCAACTGATCGAATTCGAGTTCAGCTAGCTCATCTGCATAGTAGATAGTTGGAAATACAAAATATCGTAATGAGATAGTCAAAAAGAAAAGTACATATTCATTCAATTCCTATCGTATAATGCCGATCACTGTTTCAGAACGAGCGCGCATATACCGCCAGTTGATCAGCTTGCGTTGCGCTCTCATGTGACCTATACACTGTACTAAACCAGAATAGACATTTCTAAATTTTATTCTAAATCTTTCATCATTTATGCAAACAAAAATTTGCAAGTATGATTTCTTATTTTTTTTTTTTAAGATTTAACTATAATTCAATCGACTTGATTAAGCATTTCGGCTAATGGGGTTCCTTAATCCTTCACAAATTGTATTTTAATGACTCCTATGCTCATATCTATAAATAAATTCTCGTAGCAGTAACTGAGTTGCGGGAAAAGGAAAAAGTCAAAAAATTATAATTATAAGGAAAAATATGATAGAGTGATCATTTTTTCGTGCCTATTGACCAATATATTTTCTGCGACGCCTTTCTTTTTTCAAAAAATTGTCACGACAGTAGATACTTGAAATCATAATTTCTTAACTTACTATCGACGAAAAAGTGTTCAGTTGGTCGATGAAAAATTGCCCAGAACCTTTCCCATAACACTATTGCCTAGAATACTATATTTGCACACAATATCTTGCTTGAAGTTTTTCTAATTAACAATCTACTACAACCAACTAAATATATGAGAACACAGTTGCATACAATCACTAGATATGCTGAAATATTATCATTGTCAGTCAACTAACGAAGATATCTTAAAAAAATTTAAGGCATTCCATCGTATTAACAATTAACCAATTAAATCAAGGTGGAGTTCAATCATAGTATAATTGTTTGTAAAACGTTTTAAATGTAACCGATCTTATAATAAAAATCAGAAATAATAATGAAGCAATAGAATTGTTGAATAAGCTCCGTCGAAGCTAAAATACCCTTTACAGGTGCATTTCCAATGGCATCAAATTATGAAAAAAGATGAAATCTTGATTTTATTCGGTCAGTTTGTATGGCAGCTTTAAGCTATAGTGGTCCAATATCGGTTATTCTAAAAAATGAGCAATATCTTGAAAAGAAAAGAACATGTCCGAATTTCATATCGATATCTTAAAATCTGAGGGACTTTATCGAGTACACACACACAGACAAACGGATATGGCAAATCGACTCAGTTGGTCAAGGCCATTTATAAAGGATGATCTCGAAGTTCTCTCAATAAATGTGTGTTGGTCGTAGACTATTCGATCGACTATTATCCAGTGATGAATCCTGGGTCCAAGATAGGTGTTGGTTTTGCGAATAGTACGCTCAGTAGACCGATTATGTTGACCAAAAGTTGAGCGAAGCACTCGAAACACATTCTTTACAAACCGTGAATTTTCGTAATAAAGTTGAGCAGTTTGTAAACATTATACGCCTGAACATGATTTCTATGATTTGTATTTCAAACAATACCAAGACAACTTGACAGGACTCACGCGCGATCTTTCATAAAAATGCTATTGCAAAAAGAACCTCGTTTTGGAGCACTCGCTAAATCCGCTTTAATATTCTCCTTCAGGGTGGTACAAATTCTAAGCAACCCTGCGTAGGGTATAAAAGAATAATTTGTATACTCTATATCCTTATTAATGAAATGTTTACATCTGCTTCAAACATTTTCAAATCACTAGTGATAAAAAACTTAGCTACACACTGGAACATGCCAATTCACAGCAATTTTGTAACTTTAGTTTTCTAACTTCACTCATACTCAATAAGTGTAACATGACACACTCACAACAACGCAATACACTCGCCCACGTTCAACCGAAATACCTACATACAAGTATATGAGAAATTACATGCAAACAATTCAAACAGAAGTTTCTAAATAAAATTCAAATAAATATTGCTTTTATTTTAGCACAATTCTTTTGTAATTCATTTAACTTTATATTTCTCCAATTTTCAGTGAGCAAATTGTGTATGTGTGTGAGTGAATTTGTGTGCAAATCATGTGAATTATTTCAGCACCAACACCTTAGCTAAGCAAAAAGCAGTTGTAGTAAGTCTCCAAAATATTTATGTGAAATAAAAACGCATGCATGTATATAAATGGTGCATAGAGTAAGGCACCACACAGCAACAACAAGCAGAAATGCAAGAATGTTGCACAAAATAAAGCGTAATACATACTCGCATAAATAGAATTAACTTTCACTGAACAATTGCAACAAATTTTGTATGTACTATATTATGCAAAACAAAAAAAGTATTTATATATTCCAGAAATTTATATGCAAAATAATTTAATGAAAATTTTAAAAACACCAGCACTTGCACCAGCACAAAAAGCAGCACCCACTCGCACCCACTTATGCTATATATATATTTTTTTTTAATTCAAAATGTCCTTTCTTTCTTACCTTTTTTCATATTTGTATTTGCAAATGTATTTTATGAGTATTATGTTCACTTGTATGCTTATAAATATGTTGCATGCGATATCTAGCCCCCCAAAAATTAAATTGAATGTGATTGTGAATTCTAGTGCTTCATGAGCAGCCTAGTTGTATGCTTTGTTTTCTTTTACTTTTAAATATTTAATTTAAAGCTTTATATTCTGGAGAAAATTTGTTAGTCTTTTGCTTATCGCTTTGTTTTGAGCAGTACAAATGAGTTTATTTTATTTTCTACAAATGTAGGCTGTTCTACTATACTTTGTTGCATATACTTTTAAGCGCTGAAACAAAATCAGAAACAATAGTGTGCATACGGCAAAAATAATGTATACTTAGGTATAAAAATTCGGTAAGCGGCGTTTACGCCAATATAGATATAGTATAACACTAGCCGACAATTTTGACATTTTTTTCTGCTCTGAAACCAAACTTGTTTTTTTATGTTGATTTGATAAGGTACATATATAATTTGAATATAAAAAAAATTGCTAGGTCCAGGTTAAGAGAAAAATAAAAGTAAAGTTTTTGCAAAAAATATATTGAATATTACAAATTTTTATCCCTCAATTTATATTTTCTTGTACTTTTTTGAACTTCTGCTGTACTGGTAGTCAGGATTATCACGTAAACATATCCAGCAATAGTCTGCCAGCATACTAGGAGTCCATTTGCCTTGATACATTTTCTCCATACTCAATATGTCTTGGTGAAATCTCTCCCCATGTTCATCACTGACTGCACCTAAATTGGGAGGAAAGAAATCCAAATGCGAATGTAGGAAATGTATTTTCAGGGACATGTTACACCCTAAAGCCTGAAAATCCGTCAATAGGCTTGATATGAGTTCTTCATAATCGGGTGATTTGGTGTTACCCAAAAAATTTTTTACAACCTCAACAAATAAAAGCCATGCTTTTTTTCTAGCGTATTTAGTTTAGAGA